CTACACCAAGAATGCTAGCACCGGCGTCGCGAACAGCATCGATCGGCGGACCTTATAGTGCGTCACCGTGAGGTCACTGCTGTACTCGAGCGGGTCGCGCGAGAGCACTTCAAGCAGCTTCTGACGGCTAAAGAGCCCAGCGCACGGCGACACGTTCTTGCGCAGCAGCGGCTTCTTCTCAAAGTACTCGGCTTGGAACGCGCCGAGGGACATGCCAAGGATGGCCTCGAGGCGGCCTTGTGGCGTGTTGGACTCGACCTTCTTGGGCGCCTTGGCCTTGGGCTTGGCCTCGGCCTGCTTGTTGCCGTCACTTGGCTTGCGCTTGGTCTCGGCTTGCTTGTTGCCGTCACTCGCCTTGCGCTTGGACCCGCGGTGCTTGTTGCTCGGCCGTGTCATCGCTGGTTGTTGTATCCACTTGTTGCCAGCGACGAGGCCATTGGACAAAATGGGAGCCAATGAGACGACGTATTGATCTCAACCAATCAGCGTGCTGGACGCTTTTTTGCCGCCATCATCAACCCATGGCTTCAACCTGAGTAGACGAGTAGAAGCTCTCCTCGCACGGGTGGGACGAGCAGTACGACAGCTAGAGTAGAGAGCTAGTACTCACAAGTACGTAATTGTCATGTTGGTTATACTGCGGTTTTTGTCTTGTCGGAAGGATCATCGCTCAAGAATGCTTCTGGCGGCGGCTCGGTCGCAGCGCGCGTGGCATCGTCCTTGGGCGGTGCCGGCTCGCTGGAGGCTTTTGGAGGCGCGACGTCAGCCGCACAACTTTCGTTTGCAGGCTTGGCGCTGCTTGCCTTCTCGTCGACCTCTGCCTTGGGCTTGTCTGCTGGCATGGGAGTTGCCTCGGGCACTGGGCGGTCCTTCGCACCATCCCGAGCACTGGGCGGCATCTGCAACGGCTTCATGTCCTTCCACGGATCATGGCCCATGAGGTGCTGATGCGGTGCGAGGTCGTAGGCAGGCAGCCGTTCGTCGTCGTCGGCTCGCGACTCAATTGGCGTTTCGGAGGAGACGACCTTGTCGAGGATGACTTCGCGACCCGCCCAGGTCCAGAATTGCCTCTCCACAACGACCCGATCGTTGGATGGCAAGTACAAGCACGAATGCTCTGCGTCCGCCATAAAAGTCGTACCCATGCACTTCCACTTGCCTACGCTTCTTCGCATGAAGCCATCGCGTGCTATGGCATCTACGGACCTCGATCCGGGGGCCGCGACGCCTTCATCTCGCGGCGCTCCTGCAAGTACCCAACGTACTCGTCTTCGTGAAACGAGGCGATGCCTGAGATGTGCTTGTTCTACAAGGCCACGATAGTGTTGAGCATATACGCGATCCAGAGCGTACGTACGCTGGTGCGAGGAGCGCCATGGTCGTCCCAGCGATGCTCGTGTGGGCGAGATGCATGGAAATCGACATGCACCGACTTGGAGCGTGGCGAAGACCTGCTCTCGTGCTTCATGGCGGCTCGGTAGTGGCGCTCGTCACTGTAGTCCTAGCAGCCACGACGCTGTAGCACCCAAGACTCATGGCCGCCGAACCGGTTCACGGGCCGAGACGCGTGGGCGGTCCTGGTCTCGCCGGCGCTCGTCGCGGTATGTACCTCGGCGCTGCGTCCATGAGGCCAGCTCCATATGGTGGCGGAGCGTACCCCGCGCGCCGAGTCGAGTCGGTCCTCGTACTCGCGCCGCCGCTCCTGGCTCCACGCGAGCATGCAAGATCGAATCCTACGGTATCCGGACATCCAAATTGTATCCGGAAGAATCCGGGCGTCGCTTCGTGGCGCCACGTGTGAAAAATCCAGCCTCACATACTTGTACCGAGGTATTGTATTTTACACGTTGCCTGTGAAAATCAAGTGGTTGTGATAAATAGAATCGCTCACAGTGAGATCTGAGTTGATACCTTGTGGTTCTGGTAGAATTGATCGTGTTGCCGCTTCCACAGCTTCTTGCTCTTACTGGACCAAGGTTGTTGCTCCACTGCTGCAAACTGTGCATCTGCTTACGCCCGGCTCCGCATGCGTCGACCGGGTGCAACCAGCTCGGACGTAGCTGGTTCTTGGTCTGTCCCGCGTCGACTCCAACCTCGGCTTGAAGTCAAACCACTGTGTGAAAAACACAGTTCTCGCGCCGTCGCTGGCTTCCGACCATCTGTCTGTCGCACCGTCTTCGCTGCGTCATCCTAAAAGACACGAGTGGCGTTGACCGCTCGCCTGCAGTATTTGGCTGGTGCTCCTCAATGGTATTCGAACGCGGTGGCGATTCGAGTGCACTCTCCTTGTCGCTTTAGTTAGTTCTTTAGTCGGTACGATTGCGGACGCGCCGTGGAGCCAACGTTATTTATAGCAGTCCAATCACGGGCCGGCATGCGGCTATATACAAATTTCAAGTGCATGCGATGGGTCCTTCGCGGCCTGTAATATTCGTGTTGTTCCGAGCTCGTGCAATACTATTATATGAGTATACAAACATCGCATTGGAATAAAACGGTGGGATAAAAACACGTTTTTTATTACATCACAGGCCATTTGTATGCAACATAAAATCTCGGCTTTTAATGACGGTAGGGAGGAGGGGGGAGGTCCCCCTGCGTAACTCTGTTCCGGGGACTGGCAATTGGTAGGAAGATGAGTGCCAAGGACGAGGACGGCCCGATCCAGGAGGCGCCTGCGCTCCCGCTGCCCGCCATGCACTCGCTCGAGGCCCTCGTCGCCGCTCTGGACGTACATGGCATGATGCTCTCGCCGGCGCAGCGGGCTGCGCGAACCAAGTGCGTCGTCGACCATGATGGCGAGTTCGTCAAGGAGCTCGTCCGCGTCGCCGACCAGTGCAAGGACATGGACGACGACGAGAGCCTCGAGATGCTCTTTCACATCGTCAAGCTACTGAGTAGGCCACGCCCTGCGCAGGCCATCGCCGGCTAACCTCCATCTTACCTAGTCGAGCTCTGCGACGCCCCGATCTTGCAGCTGCTGCTTTCGGACGCGTACTTCCTCGACATTGTGGGCATCCTCGAACACAACCCGAACGTGCTTTCCAAGCTCCCGTTTCGCGCCGACCTCGAAGGCCACATGAGCTTCCAGCAGGTATAAATCCCTCGTCGCGCCCTCCGACGATGCCACTGGCTTACACACATCTAGGTGATCCCGATCCAAGAGGAGGCGGTGCTTGCCGCCATCCACATGAACTTCCGCATGGACGCGATCAAGGACAACATCCTCTCGCGAACGCTCGCGGACGGCTGTGCGATGTGGATGGAATGCCTCATGAACGAGAACAACATTTGCATCCTCACGTACATCAGCAACCACCCCGAGTACATCTCGGCGCTTTGGGCGCTCGTGGCCGACCCGGTGACGCAAGCGACTGCGATCCGGTTGCTCCAGCACCTCATGCGGCTCATCCAAATCACGCAGCCGCCAGCGCGCAACGCCGGCCTCGCGCATCGCCTGCCGCAAATGTTCAAGGCCGACACGACAGGCGTCAACCCCGTGTTTGGCTCGCTCCACCACGCGCTCTTTGCCACGTCGCCGACTGGCCAAGGCCTGCTCCAGAGCTTTGCCCGCGTGCTCGGCGTCCCGGACGCCGCGTCGCTTGAGACGCGCACGATCGTGCTTGAGCTTGTGCACAGCCTCGTGGTCTTTCAGGGCGGCGACATTGTCCGGTCGTACATGGCCGACGAGCGCAACGCGCGCGACGTCGGGCTCTCGGCGGCGACGTGCTACCTGCAGTGGGAAGCTGGCGACTCGCTCCTCTTTGGCTTGCTCTTGACACTGTACGCACACGAGGCCCATCGCGGCCAAGTGCTCGACATTCTCAAGCTGCTCTTCAACGTCATTCCGGGCAAGGACGACAAGTTCCTCGGTATGGTGTACACGGGCTACATTCCGTGGCTCTTCCATCTGCTGACGTTGCCCGAGAACTCGCCGTCGAGTCTCTACGGCCTGCACGCGACGGTCGTCGAAGTGCTCACGCTCTGCATTGCCAACCACGGGTATCGTGTCAAGTACGTCTTTGCGCGGCAGCCCGTCGCGAGCTTCCTCTCGACGATGCTCACCTCGTCCGACAAGTTTGCGCAGATCAAGGCCGCCAAGTGTCTGAAGGCCTGCGTGGGCATGAACGAAGCGTTCTACTCCAAGTTTGTGCTCTCTGGCACGCTCCTCGAAGACGTCTTCCTCTTGCTCCGCCACGCGGAGAAGACCAAGGCTGGCAAAGTCCATTGCAACGCAGTTGTGTCGGCGCTCCTCGACATCCTTGGCACGGCCGAGGCCAAGCACTGCGTCTCGATCCTCGAACACGTGCACGCGACGTACGCGAAGGAGTTTACGCCGCTGTTTCCGGGCCTCTTTCTCGCGATCCAGCGGCAAGTGTCGCACGAAGACGACGGCAGCAGCACGGAAGAGATGGCCGCGGTGTCGGTCGCCTCCACCACGGGCGGCCGCACGATGATGCTGACCGACGAAGACGAAGCGTACTGGGAAAAGGAGGACGACGACAGCAGCAGCAACAATAACAATGCTGGCATCGTGGGTCCGATGCCGGCGCTCGACGAGTCGTATGAGCCGGGGTCGCCCGACAAGCCCGAGGACGGGCCGCCGCCGCTCGTGCCACTCGCCGACCGCGAAGCCTCTGGGTTTGTGGTCGCGGCGTCGCCTCAGCGCAAGAGCAAGCCGATGGCGATGTTTGCCAAATTGCCGTGGAAACGGAAGAACAGCGACGACGGCGACGCGACGAGCTTTGATTATAAAAAGCAAAAGGCAGAATTGCTAGGCTAAAAAAAAGACACAACGGTAGGGAGTAGGTCAGAGTACACTCGCGTACGCAATCATATATTATACCACGATACCGCCGTCTCATTTCACGTCGGTCAGCCGGCCTCTCACTCATCGTCGGTCAGCCCAGCATCAAACTGGGACAGGTGGTGAGCCCGAGGCAGTCGCGACTCAAATAGGATGCGACAGCATCCGAAACCTTTTGCGATACATCAATGCATAAACAATCGTGAACGAGGTACAATAGTTCATTCATTCATCGATGGCTAAAATACAGTCGCGCACTACAGATTGGCCATCATCTGCTATCTGAACGTGGATTTGGTCAAGTTGCTGTGGTATCTTCCGGTTATCATCCGTGCGGGTCATGGCGCTTTTTGATTGGCCAACTACGAATCTTGAACGGTCGTCAACCGCGGGGATGGAGCCGTCCGACGCGCCGACACCGACGGACGCTGCCGCGCCACCGATTTCAGACACAGATGACAACGCATCGAACGAGGTATCCACTGAAGAATCGATGGACAACCTCCCTGTGGAGGCACCGCCACGCACACCGTTGGAGCAATTCGAGGATGCCATCGCGGCGGCCGAGCGGGCATGGACAATCAAGCTGGACGAGTACGCGCGACGCGTCACCGCGCTGCGTGCCAGCACCGCGTCGATCAAGCAGGCACATCAGGCGTCTACGAGTGCCCTCCAGAAGCAGCTGCACGAGGCGCAGCTCAAGCACAAGTCGCTCGTCACCAAGTGGACCAAAGAAAAGGAAGCGCGGGCGGCCGAGAAAGAATGGATTGCGGATGCATGGCCGTCCGAAGTGGCCTTGCCGCCACTGTGCTGCGTCCGTTCATGAAGGATCTGCCACCGACGCCGGCCGAAGTGAACGCGCGGGCCGCGACCGCACACATGCAGCTCGCGCTCCTGACAGAGGCCAACGAGATTGTCTCGCGCAT